GCCATCAATCTCTCCAGTGGGATCAAAGCACCGGGGCATTCTGCATTGCTGGAGGAAGTGCGGAACAGACCGCGGGTCACGGTCATCAGGTGCGGCGAACAGGGCTGTCTCACGATTCCCCGGGGCGGCAACCCGATATGGCTGCCCCCTTTCTACGACCATGGCTCTTCGAAAGTCCAAGACCCCACAGGCGCCGGGAATGCGTTCCTCGGAGCATTTGCAGTTGCTTTCGCGAGAACGGATGACGCGGTGCTTGCGTCCGCGTATGGGTCTGTGGCGGCCGGCTTCGTTATCGAGCAGATTGGTCCGCCTCGGAGAGAGGTCATCGACGGCAGAGAGTGCTGGAATGGGGAGGCGTTTGAGGACAGGTTGAGGACATATCTGGACAAGGTCGCGACATGGCCGACCGACGGAGTACTGCAAAGCAAGTAGATCAAGAAGCCTCAGGATGGTCATAGAACGGGTCGGACTTCCCGGTGGTCATCTGGGTATCATAACGAGATTCTAAATTTCCCGACCTCTAAATGCTTGATAACGTGGCCACTCGCCCAAATCCGTGTTCTAAGTTTTCAACCCTTTTTCCTTTCGCCAGCTCTTTCTCGCCTCTCACCGGATAACCTGCGTTCCCTCAGCGGGCTCCAGAATCTTCCACTCGCAGCCGACGTTCTTATCGGCGTTGTTCTCCCTGAGAATCTTGATGATCTTGTTGGCAATCTCCTCAAAGTTGCCCGTGGCGAGCGCGAGGATGGTGGGACCCGCGCCGGACAGGCAGACGCCGAGGAAGCCCGGCTGCGTGCTGGGGGACATGCCCTCGACGATCTGGCTCAGGCCAGGGATGAGGGTCTGGCGGTAGGGCTGGTGGATCTTGTCTTGCATGGCGAGGTGAATGAGCTCCGGGTCTGGAGGGGAGGTGCCTAGTGCCACGGGGAGAAGAGCTATTCTCTGCATGTTGAAGGTCTGTGGTTTGGTTAGTCGAGGATGGGACAAAATACATGAGGGACTACAGGGGGTCAGGAGGTACTTACAACGTCGGGACGGGTGTAGTGCGGCGGCAGCACCTCACGAGCGAGGTGGGTAGGGACCTGGAAGTCGGGAATGATGGCGATGGCCTTGATCTCCTTGGCCCAGGGGAACTTGATGTGGTGGCCGATGCCGTGGGGCGGCTCCGGCGGGGTCTCGCCCGTGTCGACGCCGCCTGCCGGGGCGGGCAGGACTTCGCTAAGGGGGATCTCGATGCGCTGGACGTCTTCGGGCTTCAGGGGGCGGAGGTAGGTGCCGACGAAGCCGCCGTATAGCGAGGCGCCGACATTGTCAGGGTGTCTCTCTGGTTTGTTTGTGAGTAACACTGCACTGGAGATGTCGAGGGTATCATTACTAGAGAAAGGGGGTTACTCACCAATCATCAAACAGAAGTCGAATAGTCTGTCCAAGCTGAGGTGATCCAGGTGTCCGACCTCCTTCCCGAGCATGACGCCGGCAACGACAGCGGAGCCGGAGCTACCGAGGCCGCGGCCGAGCGGGATGGGGTTCTTGATGTGGACATGGGTCTCGACAGGGAACATCCGCTGGCCGTGGCACCGCAGGACGTAGAGGGCGACGCGGGTGATGAGGTTGACGGACGGGTCGAGGCTGATATCAGAGGAGCCCTCACCCTGGCCCTCGTAGGTGAGGCGGCAGTTGAGGGGCTCCGAGGAGGAGGTCTTTGAGCGGTCGACGGTGACGTGCAGCTCGAGGTAGACGGAGAGGGCGAGGCCGATGACGTCGAAGCCGGGGCCGATGTTGGCCGAGGACGAGGGCGTCTTGATCACGAATGTTTCTTTGGTCATGGTAGGCGAGGCTGGCGGGCGGTGTAAGTTGGTTGGATGAGGGAAGGGGGTGAGTGTGTGAGTGTGTGTGTGGGCTGAGGAGGTAGGATGAGGTGAGGGGTTCAGATCAATTCGGTGAGGCGGGGTGAAAGCTTCACGTCGATCGACGGTTGTCTCAATGGAGGTTATGGAATGGATATGTGATACCTTCTGGTGGCTTTTACGTGAGACGAGTATGAAATCTCACGCAGAAAAGTGAAAATGAGAGTGAGTCTAGCTCAGTATTGCTTAAACTGGTGTCGTTCGTGACTCAAAAAAATTGGACGTCGCCCGATGACCGGAGCGTCTCAGCGGCCCGGCGCTGCTTCCTGGTGGGGTGAAGCCCTACAGGCTACAGTGTACACAGGTACGTCCCCTTCGAGTGCGGGGTGTCCCTCCGGGCGGCCATTGGCCAATGAGAGTACTGGATGCTGCTCAATGCACGGTCAGCTCTCAGCGCAGTGTCACTGTCTTATCGCCCTGCTCCAAGGCTGAACATCCTCCACTCAGCGCACCTCACCTCACTGAAATGAGGTGACCACACCTGCAGCTCTATCTTATCTTATCGCGTAGCCTCTTCCTTCTCATCCAATTTCCTTTTGACTTTCTCTGCTCGGAGCCTCTTGCCAATGACAACTGCATCTTGCAACTACATCTCATGCCTCATCCCGGGGTCAGGCTGTGTGACATACTGCTCACTGTTCTCAGCTTTCGACTGACTTCCAGAAGCTGGCGGCACCCATTCCCTTTTGGCTTGTCGACTTACCAACATAACCAGCCTCGTCAACAAACTGCCAAGAGTTCCACACTCGGTCAAGATGCTCGTCTGATGATAGCAATACTTCAGGCGGACCACAGAAGTGTCGATCTCTTGAGGAGCTCCTCGTGATCTATCGCAGCGATTTGGATAGCATTCCCCTTGACAAGTTTGGATGTCATCCGTATTAATCTATTCTCTTCCTCGCCTTACATCAGCCCATCTCTAAACTCCATCTCGTATCGCCATCTTCCTGCGAGCAACTCGCCTTCGGGTAGTCCCCGAGACTGCAGACAGCCGAGTCAGTAGCCTGACTGGGCATCTTTCTCCCAATACTCGAAATGATCGTGGCTCTCTTCACGAAGAGCCGCCTCAAGCACGGAATGTAATTCCGAAGGACTCGCTGCCAGGAGGGGTCTCACAGTGACGACCATTCACCGCCTCCCTCGTCGAAGATCTATCAGGAACTCCCAAAAGCAAGCGGGGATCAGGACAAGAGCTCGTGTTCTGCCGAGCCAACCGCATACTCCACCGTCCATCGCAAATGCTTGCCAATCGCATCGGAAAGCTCCATTCTGGAGTTGCGGAGCTACGAATGGAGATTCACTTGCTATGCAGATGCCACAAGCGTTGTGGCCATGACCAACATCTATTCTCAGCTCAAAGACGATCACTTAGAAGAGCATCACAAGAAAAGGGCGGCGAAGCTCGGATACATCGGACACCCCGCGGACGGCGACGCAGCGACCAACACAGCGATCGGCCCATTTGTCCCAGACGAGTGAGACTGCGCGTGCCGATCCGCGCTTGCGCGCTTGTAACGTTGCTCGACGCCGCGGATGGTCAGCACGAAGCGCTCCTTATGCCAATAGACGGAAGGCGAATGAGGTCTAAGGGCTACCAAGTTGCCCACTGCCCTACTGCTTCGCCATCATGAGCGAGCTACGATTCGTTAGACTCAGCGCCGGCGCTCACTGGCGTCGAGGTCTCTCCTCTTCATGCTGTGCCCGTGGTTGCGGTACGTAGGTCTGACTTTTGGGGCTCATCTGAACGTGGGATGGCGCCCGCCACAGCCGTAAGCCCATGACGCTCGACGTTTGCATCGCAGAACGCCAGCCCCAATCCTCCGAGGATGCAAGCCCCGACCACTCGGATTCGGGGTTTTTCATGTCAAGTCTTGTTTTCCTCTTCCTGTACGACGAGGAAACAGTAAGGTCGCAGCGGGCAGCGGACGCATGCGTTGGCGAAGAAATCGTTTCTGGCGACCAGAAGCAACACGAGGAAAAAAGAGCCACCTGACGTTACGTCCCGCCGGCATTGTGTGGGGAAAAACAAGAGATCAACACCTGTTGGCGGGAAAGTCGCCCGACGCACAAATGAGCCAAGTCCTGCATATTGAATCGAGGAGGCTCCTCTGCGACGGCCCAAATAAGTTCAGAAGGATGTAAAAAAACAAGCAAAATATTTTGTTCCAAAGAGCATACGTTGAGTTGTGATAGTCTCATTCGGAATCAGTTTACTTCTCCCTTCTCAAGCGGCTGGAAGGAAAGAGAGGCTGGCAAACCGGGGCAAAGATGCGGAACCAGGGAATGCTAAACCCAAATAACCTTAGCGGTGTTTGATTGCTAAAAACAGCCCAGGATGACAGCCCTGTCGCATGCGACGGTCAACTACACACCGTCGCCGGTCCGTCGCAGCAGCAGCCAATTCGAGGCATCGCGTGTTTGTTCCCGCCCCATGCCATGAGCGTGAGCCCCCTAACGGCGCTGGGAAATCGGGGCTAGTGAATACGAGAATAATCCTCGCCTCCTTCTAGTGGCCCTTTCCCCACGTCAATAAACCAGATCTGTGATCGGCAGTGCAGGTGGTGCTTTTTCTACAGACTACGGATCAACTCTCTCTTTTCCCTTGCTTCCCGTAAACTGCGCCGCTCAATACGAATTGAAGGAACCCTGGGGAAGGCTTGTCCCCTCTCCGGCAGTCATCCCATACGATGTGACATGTAGTATGGAGTCCTCGCCAAGCCGGCCAAGGGTCCTGTTGCCGGCCATGTCACGACATGACGCTATTGCCGGAGAGACCGCAACGTCATGGATGACTTTTTCCCGCCTTCTTGCTGTCTTTGTCGTTGGAGACCATGATCCGCTTCGGTTCGGGTCTGGTGATGGAGCCTAAAGTAGTGAAGAGGCTGATCATTGTTAGGGATGAGCTGAGATCGAGGCTGTATAAGAAGAGACCGAAGACTCGCCTCCTTCGATTAACTTCTCTCTCAACCTCATCAGCTTCTACACCAGCATCTCCAACTACTACAATCATACAACTCTAAAAACAAGCTTCCCTAGCTCCATCTACAACACCACCTCAACCACACCTTCACCACCCCAAACACCACATTCAAGATGCAGTTCTCCAACCTCGTCACCATCCTCTCCTCCATCGCCGCCGCGGCCGCCGTCTCCGTCTCCTACGACACCGGCTACGACGACGGTTCCCGCTCCCTGACCGCCGTCTCCTGCTCCGACGGCGCCAACGGCCTCATCACAAAGTACGGATGGCAGAACCAGGGCCAGGTCGCAAAGTTCCCCTACATCGGTGGCGCTGACGCCATCGCCGGCTGGAACTCCCCCAACGTAAGTTTCACTCTTCTTTCCTCATACCTTCGCCAACACTGGCTAACACACACGATAGTGCGGCACCTGCTGGCAGCTCACCTACAACGGCAAGAGCATCAACGTTCTCGCCATCGACCACGCTGGCTCCGGGTTCAACTTGGCTCTTGGCGCCATGAACGACCTCACCAACGGCCAGGCTGCTCAGCTTGGCCGCATTGATGCCCAGGCTACCCAGGTCGGCCTTGACGCCTGTGGTTTGTAAATTGCGACGACACTCAAGCGACTTAACGACAAGAACGGCACATTAATCAGCATCAAATAATTGGAGGGTGTTCGATTGGGAGGACATTCGACATTGCATGGAACCGGCGCTATTCAATCCTTTGGCATATGCATATCACGATACATTCCTTACATAGAAGCATAATCAATCATAATGAGACGGGGCTACCTGCCTCTGCCTATTTGCATTACATGAAAATTTCGTCGCTTGGGTGATACAAGCTTACTTGGTATTCATGATTGGCTTACAGTGAATCTTGAAGTTTTTGCTTGTTTTGACTTTGACCATTTAGCTACCGAACTGTTCCTACCTAGGCTCTTCAAGCTCACATTGGATATCGCCTGACTATTGAGCATGGCTAGCAACAACCATCATAGTTCAAACTGTGGCTTGAAGTGGAACTTTGATGCATTCCACATCCATTGATCTGATCGAAGCGATACGGAATGTTTAGCCCACAACTAACTACCTCAGATGATAAATAAGCCATGAGCCGGGAATATACTTGAGAATATTGAGAGGGATGAGAAGCTCGGCCTCATCAACTTTGTCTTGGAACGCATTTTGTAGACCCAGATTGACTATTTGCAGCTGATGAGGAAAGAAAACGAATTCAAACCGAGGGCAGATGAAGTTTTGTCGTATCAAATTAGAGCGCGGCTTCACTGCACAGAACCAGCCGCGGCACCCGCCCGATGTTCATCCGGAACCGGCCGAAGTATGGAGAAACCAAAGCCGGATCCGTGTCGGGTAAAGTGGAGCTAATAGTCCGGTGACGTGAAAGTGTCGGTGAAGAAGCTCGGCATGGCATGGCTCGAAACGAGACCGAGCCCACAATTTATGCGGCATCTTGTTGAAAATTCTTCTCGCAACACCAACCTCAAATGGAGGCCTCTGCTCATCGAATTGAGTACCAGGTAAGTAAAGCTGTACATGGCGGAAGCCATGCTGGTAGCTGTAGAAGGCATGAAGATGGACTACTCCCATATGCCCATAGACTCAACAATAGCAAGACACCAGGAGTCATTCACACAATGTTTGGGTTTCCAAAAACCAGAAGAATATCTTTCAGGGAGCAAAATTTACACTCAATTACAAAAGTAGTCGCAATGTTGACTGACTGCAGTTGCACACCAAGACTAGCAAGAAGGTGAGCAATGACCAAGCGTGGAAGGTAATCTGGACGAGCCGCGCCTGTCTTATTGCCTCATATGGTTTAGTAAGCTCGTTGTATTACCCAGGACAGATTGGCCAGGCAGTCTGAAGACATAGCGCAGAATTATGGCTCCTGACATGGATGATAGAGGTGAACAATGCAAGTGAAGATTCGAGAGTCAAGAGCACGTGAATGGAGGGGCAGAACGGGTACGTACCAAGAAGCATGCTGTTGTTACGCATTTTCTGCAGGCGCGTAGCAAAAGTAGAGGAGGGGTACCTGGACTTGACCCCGCCTTGCATCAATTTTTTTCTTCTTTCCAGGTTCCTTCAGGCTTCGACGCCTTCTACCCCTCCTTATCTTATCAGTGGTGGCGGGGCTCACCTCGAAATTTTCACACTGGTCCCCTAAAATTTTGTGTGGTGCAAGTCTGCGGTTGCCTCCAAAGCTGTCATTTGGCTGGTGGTTTTATTATTTTCTCATTATTTTTATTTTTATTTTTTCGTCGTTGCGGCGTGTCATAGGTGGTTCGGGCATCAAGGATAAAAATTCAGTTGCGCCGGGCCTTTACTTCCCTTTCCTCTCCCCTTCTCACCTCCTTCTCTCCTTTTTCCTTCTTCTTCCCCTCCTCGTCTTTTCCTTCTTTTGCGAATAGTTGTGAGGACGACGAGACTCCAACAGAATCTCAAGATGGATAAAGGAAACTTGGTCCAGCTGCTCCAAGCGAGCCAGATTCGTAAGTTACCTTACTCAACTCCCCTTCGAATTCCCCATCGCCCTGTGCCACCCCGGCCGCAAACCTGGTCGAGCCCGTCTGCCTCATTTCGTCGCCCTCGCTTATTTTCCTCGTGCTTTTTTCGCCTATAAATTTTGCTTTTTCATCCGGTTCATCACACTTGATTTTCCGCGAAATCTGTCTTGCTAATTTGTTCTTTGCTCTCTGCAGCCGACACTGAGAAGGTCAAGGCCGTCACGGCCGAGCTTCAGAAGAACTACTACTCCAAGCCCGAGTCTCTTCTGCTTCTCATCGAGATTACCGTCTCCCACGATGACGCCGCCATCCGACAGCTGGCTTCCGTCCAGGCTTTGCGCCTGACCCCCAGACACTGGACCAAGATTGACGCCTCTCAGCGCGAGGCCGCCAAGAAGCACATCCTGGACAGCATTCTGAGCGATCAGTCTGCTCCCTCCCGCCACTCCAAGTCGCGTCTTCTCGCTGGAGCTATTGGTCTCGATCTTGAGGATGGCGACGGCCAGGACTTCGTCCGCGGCCTGTTGTCTCTCAACATTGCCGACAACGTTGCTCACCGCGAGGTCGGCTCCTACATCCTCTTCGCTCTGCTCGACAACGACCCCACCCACTTCACTGAGCAGGCCCAGCAGCTTCTGGGCCTGGTTCAGAAGACCATCGTCGATCCTGCGAGCGCCGATGTCCGCCTGAACTCTGTCAGATCTATCGGCGCTCTTCTGATGATCATCGACCCCGAGGAGGATACCCAGAGCGTTCAGCTCGTCCAGCAGCTCGTCCAGCCCATGGTTGAGATCCTCAAGAACGCCATCTCCGAGGGCAACGACGACTACTACCGTGATGTCTTCGAGGTCTTCCAGTCTTTCCTGGCTTTCGACTCCTCTTTCTTGGGTCCTCACCTGAAGGACCTCATCCACTTCATGCTCGAGCTCGCTATCAACAACGAGGTCGAAGAGGAGGCCCGTTCGCAATCTCTGGCTTTCCTCAGCCAGTGCGCTCGCTACCGCCGCATGAAGATCCAGGGCATGAAGGACATGGGTGCCCTTCTCATGGTCAAGAGCATGCAGATTGTCACCGAGATCGAGACTGACGATGATGACGACGAAAACTCCCCGGCCAGAACTGCCCTGGCTCTCATCGATCAGCTCGCCAACGACCTGCCCCCTCGCCAGGTCATTGTGCCTCTGCTCGAGCAGTTCCCCCAGTTCGCCCAGAACCCCAACCCTGGTCACCGCAAGTCCGCTATGCTCTCTCTCGGCACCGCTTCCGAGGGTGCCCCCGACTTCGTCGCCACCCAAATTCAGCCTCTCCTGCCCATCGTTCTCACTCTGCTGAACGACCAGGACGTCTCCGTCCGCCACGCTGCTCTCGTCGGTCTCATCCACCTCGCCGACGAGATGGCTGATGAGCTCGCCCCCAAGCACCGCGAGCTCATCGGTGCCCTGCTCACCAACCTCGAGGCCGTCGTTGGCTCTACCGACAGCCAGAGTGTCAGAGTTATCCGTGCTGTCTGCGGTGCGCTTGACTCTCTCATTGGTGAGGGTCTTGAGGACGACCTCATCAAGGAGTTTGGCCCCAAGCTCATTGTCCCCATGGGTAAGCTTCTCCACCACGAGGATTTCTCCGTCAAGGGTGGTGCTGCCGGCGCCATTGGCGCCATTGCTGCCGCTCTTGGTCGCGAGGAGTTCAAGCCCTACTTCGCTGAGGTCATGGGTGCGCTTGGCCAGTACGTTGCCATCAAGGACGGCGAGGAGGCTCTGAACCTCCGCTCGGCTGTCTGCGACTCTATGGGCCGCATTGCCGACGCTGTCGGCGCCCAGGAGTTCCAGCCCTACGTCATGGACCTCATGAAGGCCAGTGAGGAGGCTCTCAGCCTCGACAACGCTCGCCTCAAGGAGACTAGCTTCATCCTTTGGGCTTCTTTGTCCAAGGTCTACGGCAACGATTTCTCCCACTTCCTTCCCGGTGTCTTCAAGGGTCTCTTTGACTGCCTTGAGCTCGAGGAGGAGTCTCTCTCTATCCCTGGCCTTACCGAGGAGGATATCCCCGAGGGTCTGCTGATCTCCAACGGGAAGAAGCTCAACCTGAAGGCTGCTGCTGATGACGATGAGGAGGACATGGACGAGGATGCCGACTGGGAGGATCTTGAGGACTTTGCCGGTGTCACCGCCGTCGCTCTTGAGCAAGAGATCGCGCTCGAGGTTCTTGGCGATGTCATCACCCACTCCTGCGACGGCGCTGCCATCGAGAAGTACCTTGCCGATGCCATGGGCAAGGTTTCTCCCCTGGCTCAGCACCCCTACGAGGGAGCTCGCAAGGCTGCTATCTCTACCCTCTGGCGCGCCTACGCCCGCGTCTGGCAACTCTACGAGGAGTCGACCGGCGCCAAGTGGGAGGCTGGCTACCCCCCCAAGCAGAACCCCGGTCAGGTCATCAACGACCTCGGCCAGTCTGTTGTTGAGGCCACTCTCAGTGTTTGGGAGGAGGACAGCGAACGGTATGCACCCCATCATCTCTACTTTACTTCCCCGTTCCCCTGCCCTAAAGGATGAGTAACTCTCGTTATACCCAGCTCACTCAGACGCACAAAGTGCGGTTGCTGAGAACACGATTGATCACGTCTGATTCATTGGGCATCTTCATCATTTTCATGGCTAGCATGTAATCGGGCATTTTGCTGACGTCCCAATAGTTCTGTCATTACTGAGATCAACCGCAACATCGCCGCCACCCTCAAGTCATGCGGTCCCGCCATCCTTACACACAACGAGCTGCTCAAGAGCAGCTTGACTATCCTCGGTTGCCTCATCACTCGCTCTCATCCCTGCCAGATGGATCTCGGTGAGGAGGAGGAGGAAGAGGCTGCCGAGGGCTCTTCCGAGTTCGACTGGCTCGTCATTGACACCGCCCTCGACGTCATTCTCGGCCTCGCCACTGTCCTCGGCAGTGACTTCGCCGAGATGTGGAGAGTTTACCAACAGCCCATCCTCAAGTTCGCCAGCTCCCAGGAGTCTCTCGAGCGTTCCACTGCGGTTGGCGTCATTGCCGAGGCTGTCAAGTACATGGGCCAGGCCGTCACCGAGTTCACCGACTCTCTCCTGCCCGTCCTGACCCACCGCCTGACCGACCCCGACTCCCTTGCCAAGTCCAACGCCGCCTACGCCATGGGCCAGCTCATCTTCAACTCCCAGGCCACCGACAAGACCATCTCCCAGTACCCCACCGTCCTGGAGAAGCTCGAGCCCCTCCTTCAGATCAAGGAGTCTCGCATGGTCGACAATGTCTCCGGCTGCATCTCCCGCATGATCATCCGCAACCCCAACCCCGAGTTCGTCGCGCGTGTCCTGCCCGCCCTCGTCGATGCCCTTCCCCTCCAGGAAGACTACGAGGAGAACGCCCCCATCTACCAGGCCCTCTACAACCTGTACGATGCTCAGAACCCCACTGTCGCCAGCCTCACCCCCAAGATCCTGCCCGTTCTGCAGGCTGTCCTCAGCCCCCCTGAGGAGCAGTTGGAGCCCGAGACCCGCCAGCTGTGCCAGAAGCTTGCCCAGGCCCTTCACTAAATGTGTGATGGCACGAGCAAGCATTGGAGGAGGGTATTGAAGCAGGAACTATTGTGTTGCCCCCTTAGGGGCTGTTAATGAGTGATGAGTGGATGAGACACCCCCATTTCCTACAAAGTCTGTAGATAGGTTCATAGATTGCCAGGGTTAGACTTCCTGGATGATTCCCAAAATGCTCTATCAACGTTTCGTATGTTCAAAATTAGGCTTCTCTGCATCGTCTCCAGTGATCGTCGTGGCATTTTGTGTTTGTTCCGTGACGGATGAACGACAAACCATCGTAGTTCTAGGTGCCGGGTCCATACACGACAAAGTTAATCGGTAAAGCCCCGGAAAGAAACAACTTGATTATCCGAGCTTGTGAAAGAACATGGGATATCAGCCGAAATGTAAGTTTCGTCCTTTTCTACCACCGCCGCTATTGTTGTTATCTCCTTGTCTGGGTACGTAAAGACAGCCAGGACACCCCAAGCAACGAACCGTTGTATTACAGTCCTGGCTTAAAAGCACAATCCTGCTTGCGCCGCTAGTCCTGTTTCGATGGCCTTCAGTCGTGCCGTTCACACCGATGGCCATCCCATCGGCTCCGTGTTGATATATGCAATCCATCGCAAGCACTCAGCCCGACTCGGCAAGATGACACTGGTAATTTTCTTGAGCTTGTTATGTCCATATTGTTACCTCTGCTAGTTTCTCTTGTTCAATTGAGGGCTCTCTGTTTTGGTGAGCTGCTTAAGTGGCGCAAACAGCCTTACACGGGCCTTTGAAGGGGCTTGGCACAATTACTCTCATAAATGCTTCACCCACCTCGGGGTATTGCAGAACTCTGATGAGTCATGAAACCACCCTAACTCATACGCAACATAGTTGTGAACTTTCAAATATCATATCTATAAGCTTTGCAAGAGCATGAAACTAGGGACTTGAGAAGAGCTATTGTGGATTTCATATTGCTTGGTGCGCTCATCTGGAGCTGATTTCGTGAAGGACGAATTGATCAATGATTTCTCTCAGTGGAGCCTATGCACGGATAACCGCCAGCCTGTCTTTCACTACCAACGCCAAGGATAGCATTTATTCCTTCCTGGTCAAGATGTGTGTTTCGGAGTAACCAACAGAAAACTTAATTTAGATGATCTGCCTGTGTTGGAACTTGAAGACGATACGGGCGCTTAGAAGTGGACCACGCGGTTAGACCCAGAAGAGCCTCCTGGACTGATTTCGGCGGCAACAGCAAGTTGGACCGGGATTACGATAAAACTGAAGTGCGATACATGGTGATATCCACTGATGCCTGGGTTAAAGTTGGCCAAACTAAGCGCTTTCTTCCTAAGCGCCGAGATTATATCACAAATACTATCAAGGTTCATGGTCAATTGGTCTTTGGAGGACATTTGAGAATATTTACTCTTATATAAGGGGGAACTCTGCCTTTCCATCCCCTTTCACTACACAGCTAAATTGAGATACAAATCAAGACAGGAACGCATTCAACGCTCACTTTCATATTCTCTCAAAATCATACTTCTTTCACAATCTTACTCTTCACAACAATGGAAAAATGCTGGTTCGTACTGCGGAACACGCACTATCCGCCGCCCATCGGATTGACCGACGACGTGGCCGGGTGTACCGGACAGCTCAAGGGGCTGTACTGCTGTAGTCACATCGTACCTGATCTGTCGCACTTTGACGACGTCATCAACACTCGGGGCCCATTGGAGATCCCGGTGGATATGCCCATCCTTCATAAGAGGCACGAAAACCCAATCTACAAGAAAATGTCGGGACCGTCAATAAACCACTCCGGTCAGATCAGTGCACCTATTATGGCGGCTGCTGGCATGACTGCGACTACCAGCGCTGGCATAGCGTTCCAGAAAACTGTCATCAACCATGCCGAATTCGAGGCTCTCGATAGCTACATGATGCGACCAACACACTCAAGAGGACAGCATTGCTACTAACGAGGTGTCGAGATACATCCAAAGAAGCAAAAGAATGGGATCATGGTCTTGCTTCATGATCACTGGGATGATTGTCGCTCGTGGTGCGAAAGTCGCCCGATTGGAGACACGTAACATTGGAGTCCAAGCCGGCCTCGGAGCGTAAGACAACCAACTAGCAAACCCCATTGTTTTGAAGGAGATGACTGTACTTATCAACATGAAGACTAACTTTGATCAGTGGGTTCTCTGGTGTGGCCGATGTTGGTTTCAACATAGACAGTTCGTCAGAGAACAATCTGTCATTGTCAAGCGGGCATGTTTCTGACTTCGTCTGGGCGGTGCAAGTCATCAAGATACGCAAGGGCATTATGGATCCCACATGGAACCATGAGATCTATTCCAAAGGGTCGACTTTCATGAATCCTGGGGCTGCTCTTATTGAAATGAAGGACACCCTGCGCAAGGAAGGAGTTGCAAACAAAAAGATGATTGCACCTGGAGATGGAAGCGTGATCTTTGTAATTTAGCAAGTTTTGAGGTATTCAATCCCTATACATTCTTTCTTCCTCGTCAAGAGTCCATGAATTGCGATCCGATACAAATTTTGAACTGGCGAGTAAATCAGCCTTTGATTTACCGCTAATGCAGCAAAACACAACGTGATTCGAGCACGAAAGGAGAAGAAAGGGTAGAAATTAGCAGCATCCCACGCCTGAGTGTGGTAAAAGAGGTGGGATCCTAGCTAATAAAACTTGGCTTGGAAGAGGAAGGTAACTGGATCGAAGCCAGGTTCCTTTGTGCTCATTGTTCTCGAACAAGGGGTTTCATTCCCGTCTCTCTACTGCCAAACTCCCTCGCGGCCCATGTCCAATTCTGTGAAAAGTAAACAAAGCCGCCTCCCTAGGTTCTTGTTCAACAACAGCCCAGATTGAAAGTATAAAAACATCTCTAATTCGCACAACGACGACGTTGGGGAACTTCCAACTCTACATCGCAATCCACATGCCTTGTGAGCCAACACCAACCAGTTACATCCTAGCATGGAAGCCCCTGCCATCCCCCAGCGCATATCAGACTGCAAAGCTGCTTTCGGCCGGCTCATCGTCAGTTCAGGATCTACTTCCGCTCCTGCGGGGATGGAAGACCGTCAGGCCGACTTCAATATCTGGGAGGCTAGCATTAAAGCAACAAGCAGCGGCGAATCGTCACTCGATCATCGCTTAAGGGGCAGAAAGGATGTGAGCAAAGATATTTGCAATCATCTTGATGGCTTACTAGCGGCTTTGGAGAGAATTATGGAAATAGGTTGGGGCTCTACTCCGAATCATCATTTCCGCATCTAATTTCAGCTAGGGTTTACAGAGGACGAGGGTCCAGAAACCCCTGAACAGAGACAGGGAGATCCAGATGTCCAAGGAAACAGCGAAGCAGAATCCTCAGTCTCAGAATCGACTGCGTCTTATGATTCGACTGAACACGACAGCTTAGAGACTCTGCACAAGGAGCAGAAGTTTTATATTGAGAGGATACTTGAACGACTTGCAAGATTATCTATATTGATTCGAAAATTAGATACCGGAGATTGATTCGACGAGACCAATGCGTAGCTCTAAGGGAAAAGACTTGCAGATCTATGACGATCTTAAGATCCTCTTCAGACTGTACAAAATTTATGACCGACAAAGTCAAACTGAGTGAAAGATATGTACTTGATCAGGCGAAACCGCAAGGAAAATTGGAGATTCAAGTTATCGTTATGCTATGATCACCTCTAAAGTCCGAAACAGCAGTGCCTTGTCTAGACAGCCAGATTAGTGTTCTATGTCAGCTTTGTTTCTAAGATTGGTCACGCGGTCAGCTTTCGGTGTACAGCATTCATGTCTATTACACTCTGTGGAAGAAAAAACACCAGGGTTTGACAAATAGACGAGTCATCCTTCCTATATTTTGATCCATGTGGAAGGCGCCTCTAGGAAACTAGAATTGAAACACAATGCGGCTTTTTTCCCCCGGCCAGCCATCCCTGGTCAAGCCTTGTGAAAAGAATGTGTCTCGCTTTCAGCTTGTTCTTCGCAAGTCTGATTCGTTTCCCTCTTCTCCCTTTCTCGTGTATGTCTCAGCTTGAGATAGGCTGGGGCACTTTCTTCGGAAGAACCGTGAGTTTGTCGCCGACGGAGGAATAACTCCGTTGTACATTTAGCCTCGATCTTCCATGAAGCCTCATAAAGATAGACATGTAACTTCCGAGGCGTCCATATAGGTAGGACTTTTTGACTGCTTTTCTGTGGTGGGCAGGCTTTTAGTGCTTACTGAGTCTTTCTTTACTCGAATGTGATTGGTTTTCTTACTATGCGTCTTATCACCCCTTCAGCCGCACTGGCCGCACCATCGATGTCTTGCCGGATATCCCAAGCGAAAAAAAAGTTCGAATTTTGGCTGGTAGAAACATGATATGACTACTTGACGAGATGGAATGAGAGCTGGCGGCGAAATCCTTAAATAGGAGACTGGGGACGGCCTGGCAAACCGCAAGACTTGGGCTTTGCCTTCCATACTAACCTATCGTTTCGTTCTTCAATATGAGCCACGACCGGAATGAGACTTACATGCTTGCCCCTAACTGGAATTTCCGTCCGGGAGGGCCAATCAAGATCGGAAACATTATTTTCGATCCCTTTCGGCCAGACAAATCCGAACCCGAAGGTGCCTCTTCCTACGAGTATGTTACGGAAACGGCAAACCAAAAGAACTACAAAAAGACTGTTGATACGACCACTTCACTTGACTTGAGCATCTGGCTTACGTTCCTTGCCAATATCAAGGCGACGTTTGGCGCCAACCACCGACACGTCACGCACAACGAATACACCATGGACTCTTTGCAGACGACGTATCTTCTACACGATCCTTTGCGTAAGGAGATTCAAGAACGATGCAACGATCCAGATATCAAAAGACACATGAAGCTGGATAGCTTAGTCTCGAAGCCAGTGTACATGATTACCGGACTACGAATCGCCAAGGGATTCCGTCTCCAACAAAGTGAGGACCTGTCAAAATCGGCACAAGTTGGTATCGGTGTGCCGGTGTCCCCGGACATGGGTGCTGGGGGCGACTTGAGCGTCTCTACCAGTAAAAAGGGCTCTGAGGGCTTTGAATCAGTGGAAGACATAATTTACTCTTACCAATTATCGAAGATTCACCGAAAAGGATTGTGGGACACAACTGTTGTTGTTGATAGGTATTTCCCTAAGGCGTTGAAGGGTCCAGGAGAGGCAAAGGAGGCTTTCGACATCGAATCAAGCTTTCCAGATGCAGAAGAGTTGCAAAAGCTGGACGGCAACGTCCAGGTCCTTTCGCTGAACGATGGCGAGATCCAGGGAACAGTTGTGTTTAGAGCCTCAGATGAAGATGGTTATCCGAAGAAGCCTCGATATTTTCCGGGTTGCCTCGAGTCTGCCGTTTAGCACAAGTAAGGATGAGCTGTTTGCAATAGGCATAATATGAAAAGTTTGTTTTCAAGTAGTCTCGCCGTCTTTGAACGGTTGAGGGAATTTGCCTACCCCCTGCAGACTGCTGTTTGGGCCCGTTTTCGCATGACCGATTAAAGCTCCAGACAGGCAATAAAAACGAGACTTCGATCAAACAAGGAAATCCGCCTAAAATTTGCGGTAGCCATCGGCAGTTCTGTATTGACACCGAGCCGATAACGTGGGCCTGATTGGTATGCGTTGTCGGAGGTCCCTCCGGTTAGACCTCAAGACTTTCTCTTGCTATACTCAAGGTCTACCCTAAAGCAATGACAACAATTATAAGCAACAGATCGCAGACCACACAATATGGGGTAACACAGCAGCATGAACATGGATGTCGATATCATTAAAAGCCCCCTCACTTCCGCGCCCAATCTCTATCAAGCATCATGGTATTCAACATATAAACTCTCAAAAATTGGTATAGATCCTCGCCTCCCACCCCTTCAACGCCGGCGCAACCCCCTTCACCAACTCCCCGCCCTCCCTCGTGCCAACCAACAACCGCACCTCAGGCGCCTCACACCCAAGCAACGCCGCAACATCCCCAGCACTCTCCCCATCCTCTTTCGAAAAGTTCATCACCACGAGCGCCTTCCTCTTCACCCCGCCATCCTTTCCACTCACCGGCGCAGGACTCTCCTTGAGTATAACCCACGTCTTTTCGTTCTCCGGATCAATCAACCGATGCGACCCAAAGACGAACACATCGCGGTGTTGCTTCCTCAGCTTCAGCACCCTCTTGTAAAACGACAGGATGGAGTCCGGGTCGCCGCGCTGTTTCGCGGCATTGATAGACTTGTACACGTCATGCACCCTCATCCACGGCTTCGCGCCCTCTCTCGCGAAACCAGCGTTGGGGCTATCATCCCACTGGAACGGTATCCGCGAGTGATCCCTCGCCAAGATGCGCAAGCCATGCATCGTCTTCTCGATCCGCTCCGCATCCCCAGACTCCAACGCCTCCGAGTAGAAGTTACTGCTCTCGATATCCTTGTACTCTTCTATCCCCCAACTGGCCGGCATATTCGTCATGCCAATCTCCTGGCCCTGGTACAGAAATAGCGTCCCAGACATGGTCGCCTGCCACAGCGCAATCGTCTTGGCTGAAGCAAGCCACAGCTCGGGCGTCGAATCATCACCGAACCTCGACACCGCGCGCCCATTATCGTGGTTCTCGCAAAACGCCGTCGCCCAGGCATCCGTCCCCTCGATGAAGGACTGCCACGTCTCCGTGTACTTTTTCAACGTCGACAGCGGAAACGGCTGGTAAATATACTTTGCGCCGAACCCGTTCCCGTTACCCAGCCGAATCACGGAGAACTCAAATACCATGTCCAGCTCCTTCGCCACAGCCGAGACGTAAGGAATCACCTGTGACGGGTGCGGCGTCAGGGATAGCTCGCCGACGGAGACGGCATTGTAGGGCGCCAGGGCCTTGCGGTTCATCTCACGGATGTACTCGTGGATGCGGGGTCCATTACACCACATCTCGGGCGCGGGCTGGTGCGGCGACGTCGGGTCGGTGACGGGGGCGTCGACGTAGTCTGTGCGCTTGGAGTACTTGTTCACGGTATCGATGCGGAAGCCGTCGACGCCGCGCTCGAGCCAGAAGCGCATCGTGTCCTCGTAGATGGCCTCGCGGCAGGCCTCGTTGTCCCAGTTCAGGTCGGGCTGGTCGGGGGCGTACAGATGGAGGTAGTACTCCTGGGAGTGCTCGTCCCAGGTCCACGTCGGGCCTGCGAAGTACCCGCGCCAATTTGTCGGCGGGTGCCGCACGCCGTTGGCGTCGTAGCGCGCGGGCTTCCAGATGTACCAGTCGCGTTTGGGGTTTTCCTTGGAGGAGCGTGATTGCTTGAACCAGGCGTGCTCGACAGAGGTGTGGTTGACGACGAGGTCGAGAATGACCTTCATGCCGCGCTTGTGGCACTCGTCCAGCAGGGTATCGACGTCGTCGACGGTGCCGTAGGGTGCGTAGATCTTTTGGTAGTCGGAGACGTCGTAGCCCATGTCGGCTTGGGGGCTCTCGAAGATGGGGGAGACCCAGACGACGTCGACACCGAGCTCGTGGAGGTAGTCGACCTCGGCTATGAGGCCGGGTAGATCGCCCCAGCCGTCGCCGTCCGAGTCCTTGAAGCTGGCGGGGTAGACTTGGTAAAAGGTTGCGTCTTTCCACCAGGGCTGCTTGCCTACCCAACGGTTCTCATCGTCCCAGACGAGGGATCCCATGGTGAAGGAGGGGCTGTTAGATAGGTATCACCGTATCAAGCCACGCTGTAATGAGGGCGGGTTGTCGTCAATCAGGTAGGTGGAAGTAGACGAGTTGCAGAGAGGGACAGACAGACGGCGGAAGAAGGAGGAGGGATGAGTAGCAGAGGAGGAGGATGATGTCAAGTTGAGTGAGGATCGAATGTGGGAGAGATCCGAGGTCAATGGGCAGAGGTCAGGACGCGCCGGGAACGATTCGCATTTTGACCATGCGGCGAATGGGCTGCATCGGACTTGGGACGGCGGCGATCAGTAGCCGGGGCAGAAAAATGGCGTGGCGACATGACCTGCAGCGGAGAGAAGAGCGATGGGCGTGGGGGGAGTATGCGTAGCGGGTATTCGTGCGAGAGGAAATGGGGAGTACGGAGTAGAGTTGTGGTTATCGTGGCCGTGTGTGGGTTGAGTGGTTCATTTCGGGCGAGGGTTTCTGCTTCCATCGAGGACGGGGGAGGGGGATGAATGTCGTGCCGGCGGAATCAGTCCGTAGAAGGGCCGTGGGGAGAAAAGGATGCATCGCGTGAGGTGTGACGGGGTGAGAATGCAAAAGAGAGTGCGTTTGTCTGTGGAGATGCCGATGGAAGAACGAGCTTGTTCCCCGCCTTTTCTTGGTTATCTAATTGCTGAGTCTTCGTAGCTGCGTCTCTCTCTCTTTCTCGCACACTCTCACAGGTTCGCATCAAGTATCCATACGCAGCAAGGTACGGTGAGGTATGCAACGTATGGTCGCAGGAGACAGGTTTCCCCTCACTCCGCATTGCTTCCGCCCGTTCGATGTGCCAAGGTGGATACGAAGCATCCGTAAGTGCGCAGTACTCCGTAAAGTTGTTGAAGAAGCGGAGATATGCGGGATTGTCTTTTGCTCAATTTTCATATGATTTTTCTGCTCATCATTAGCCTTTTGATTAGCGCTCCGGCGGCTTGGAACATGGGAAGAAAGTGCTTAGACTCCGCATCCGCCGCACATGGTGGCTGTCATTTATTGGATGATGATGCATTTCAGATGTACCGTGACACAAGATGCAAAAAAAGATGAAGAAAGAGAAATCTTCAACGGGCGGAGACTCCGCTTTCCCTGTCGTTCCTCAAATAGTGGAGACCATCCGGACCCGGAGATGCTCCGCTAGACTCCGCACCTCCCTCCGACCCCCCTGTCTCCCGCGGGAGCCACAAACGTCATGCCTTCCCACCAATCAGACCTCGCCTCGGTCAAGCCTCTGGAAGAAAAAAGTGGTGATGAGCTTCAGGGCCGTCCAACAAAAGTCTGGAGAACTGGGCTGGATCATGGATGGCTGGGTTGGTCTCATCCCGAATCTGGGGAAAGACCACGCCCCGGGCCTGGCTGACGGTGGCTACGCCGCACATGCGCATGGAGCTCGGCTCGGGGATGGTGAGGCGCTCAATCTAGTTTCGACCTCGTGAGATGGATGCCGTGGTGCGAATAGCGTCAACCCATCCTTCCCATCCCTACTTTTTCCTTATTTCCCTTGATCTATCTATACGGACTCTCCGTACACAACAACTTTCACCGGCGGAGTCTCCTGTTGACGCCTCGTGCCGCCATCTTCAGAATGATCAGAATGGGTTCCAGCTACACCTTGGCACGAGTCGAGAACGCCATCACCAGACCTGTAGAAGGCTTAGTGAAGCCTTTGGTTCTCCATCAATCCATAGCTTGAGATTCCATCTCCATGCTCGTCTCCAAATTCTTGATGGTCCAGCTGGGAAACCCTCCAAAACGAGATTCAAGAGACCAATCCTGTCGCTCCATGTCATCCCCACAATCATTTCTCATACCTTCTCCGTACCGGTAGACTGACAGACTGATCCTCCGCTTCTCCACAAATTGCCCATGGAGTTGGGAAAAACAACGTGATTCGACACATCTTCCCCTCCCCCTAACCACCACAGAGTCACCGACTAACCTCCACCCTACTGAGGACCGGGGAGGGAATGGCTCATCACCAAAATCAGATGCTTGGCACAGCAACAAACCACCCCATGTCAACCGAGACTGACATACTTTCAACATGCTGCAAAATCCTTCCCTCACCTCACCATCATGACCACACACGAAAATCAACGTAATCACGCCAAACCAATCTTGTCCAGGACCCCCTCCCCTCCCCTCCCCTCCCCGAACTTATTCCCCAAGGGGAACCGCAACTAATTACTACGGTAGAGCGCACGGTTCAAGCGCAGGGCGTCTTGTCACTGAACTTTTAGCTCTGATTTTTATTTTATTTTCCATCCTCTCACCTCACCTTTTTCTCACTACCGCGTCCATTGTTCACTGTTGCGCTACAAACACTTTCTAATGTTACTTTGACTGCGACCCTTCTTGTTGTAACCGAAGCTGTCAAATTGATTCGGGTTCTTCCACCCTTGGAGGGATATAAGACGCCCCGAATGCCCTCCTCAACTTGATTCACCTCCCTCCTTCAGGCGTCCGACTTTCGCGCATCCCCGAGTCTCACCCGCCTCCCTCAATCCTCCTCATCATCATCTCATACATCTCATCCAATCTTTCATCCGTGATATCTCCAGCATCATAAATCTTGATACCCCGTACATACAATTATCAACTTCAAAATGGCCGACCCAAAGGTCTCCTCCCCAGTCCCAGAGGACAAGGAAACAGGCATCCACCACCACACCTCAATCACAGACGACACCAACACCGCAACCCCCATCAACCACAATGCCGCGCACCCAGAAGACCTCGCCGCGGAGGCAGCCCAAGCCGCCTCCGCAGAACACAAAATGTCCCTCCTCGAAGCCATCCGCACCTACCCAAAAGCAATCGGCTGGTCCGTCCTCCTCTCCTCCACCCTCATCATGGAGGGCTACGACCTCGCCCTCCTCAGCAACCTCTACTCCTCGGCCGTCTTCCAGCGCAAGTACGGCACCTTTGTCGAGGCCCAGAACAAGCACGTCATCTCCGCCGCCTGGCAGTCCGGCCTCAGCAACGGCGCCCGCGCCGGCGAGATTTTCGGGCTTGTGATTGCCGGCTGGACGGCGGATCGGTACGGGTATCGGGTGACGACCATGGGGTTCTTGGTGTTGATGATTGCGTTCATCTTTGTGCTGTTCTTTGCGCCGAATGTGCAGATCTTGGTGCTTGGGGAGGTTCTCTGCGGTATGCCCCGACTTTCCATCCTGGCTTCGAGTATCGCTGCTAACGTCTTGCAGGAATCCCTTGGGGTGCTTTCCAGAGTGTCACGCCAGCATATGCCTCCGAGGTCGCTCCCGTCGTTCTCAGGCCGTATCTCACCACCTTCATCAACATGTGCTGGGTAGGTCACTCTTCACAAGGACGAGAAGGCAAACTACAAGACGTTGCAGACTAACAAAATCCAGGTCATCGGACAATTCTTCTCCGCGGCCGTCAACAAGGGCTCCTACCACCACCAGGACGAATGGGCCTACAGAATCCCCTTTGGAGTCCAATGGGTGTGGCCCATCCCCATCCTCATCGGCCTCTTCTTCGCCCCTGAGTAAGTTTCAACCCCAGATTCCATCCTTATTTATTTTTTTCCCTCAAGAAGCCATTCTCTGCTGTGCTTTGACTGACAACAGCAGATCCCCCTGGTGGTACGTCCGCCACAACGACAAACCAGCCGCCAAACGCGCCCTCCTCCGCCTCACCTCCCGCAACCAACCAAACTTCAACCCGGACGAGACGATCGCCATGATAGAGCACACAAACGAGCTCGAGAAGCGCGCAAAGGAGGGCGTGACCTACGCAGACTGCTTCAAGGGCGTCGACCTCCGCCGCACCGAAATCGTCGTCGGCATCTGGCTCGTCCAGACCCTCGGCGGGCAGAACCTCATGGGCTACTTTGCCTACTTCTTGACGCAGGCCGGCATGGACCCCGGAAACTCCTTCTCCCTGTCAATGGGCCAGTACGCCCTCGGCATGGTCGGCACCGCGGGCTCCTGGTTCCTCATGTCCCGCATCGGCCGCCGCACAATCCACTTCTCCGGTCTCTGCGCGCAATTCTGCCTCCTGCTGATCGTCGGCTGCCTCTCCTTCTCCGACAGCAACGCCTCCGTCTGGGCCATCGGCGCCATGCTCATCGTCTTCACGTTCGTCTACGACTTCACCGTCGGTCCCGTAACCTACTCCCTCGTCTCGTAGCTCTCCTCCACGCGCCTTAAAAACAAGACCATCGTCCTCGCGCGCGCGGGCTACAACGCCAGCAACATCTTTGTGAACGTCATGACGAATTACCAGCTCTCGTCGACGGCGTGGAACTGGGGCGCGCGCACGGCGCTGTTTTGGGCGGGCACGTGTCTGCTCTCGTCCGTGTGGGTGTATTTCCGCGTGCCGGAGCCAAAGGGGAGGACGTACGCCGAGCTGGACCTGTTGTTTGAGCACAAGGTTTCGGCGAGGAAATTTGCCGAGACGAAGATTGATCCGTACTCGCATGAGCTCAACAGCGAGAAGAAGTTGGCCGAGGAGCATTAGGTCCTGTGTTTGCCATGCCCCTGATGGGAGATAAAAAGAGACAAGGAAAGGACGTGTCGAGGAGCGGGCCTTGAGGATGTTGGATACCCCTATGTTTGGAGTTATTGTTCTACCAGATACACTACTAGCGTAATCTCATGCATAATGAACAGGTCTTAACCTCACTCCGCCATCTCTGAACCCGCACTCCTTTCTCCTCCCAAGTGCTATATGCTGCATATCCATGGTATCAAAACGTAACTCACGTCGGCCGACGCGCCAACGTCCCCGCAATCGCCATACTCGGCACAGCCTGCTGGATATGCTTCTCCAACAAGTCATCGTAAATCGAATTGCCCCCCGGCAACCTCGTGATAAGCCGCCGCATATACTCCAAATCATCCTCCGGCCCACTGCCCGTCCCGCCCATCCGGGCGCCCCTCGGACTCGACGGCTTCGTAATCGGCACCCTCGCAAGCACATCCACCGCCGCGCTCGCGATGTCAAACAGCTTTTCCGTCAACCCGACCCCGTGCACCTTGATACTGTCCACGGGTAAATCCCGCGTCGAGAGCACGAGGTCCTTGGCCACCTCGAGAGGGTAGTGATACGTCATGCTCGGCGAGTGAACGGACTCTTCAGCAAGGTACCCGAACCGCAGACGCAGCTGCCAGAGAATGATCCGCAACCACAGCTGCGTCACCCTCAGATTCGCCTTTTGCGTGTCCTTGAGGTCCGAAGTCGACCGCAGCGCCGCATTCACCGCCGTCTCGATATACGTCAACGCCGCGTTGGACGGCGGCGTCGCCACCTTTTCCATATTCAACAGCGCGATGAACGACGTGTCCAGCGGACTGAACAGCGCCGCCAAACTCCAAAACCCCGAAAGGCTCGGGTCGTCGGCGCCAAGGGTAGGCGACTCGGCCGTGATCTGCAGCGTCACGGGCCGCCGGTACCGGATACCGTGCGACCGCTCCGACACCAACAGAACCCAGAACAAGCGGTCCGCCAGCACCGCCGCCGCCGGACTCGCCGACGCCTCGGGTGTGTTCATCCGCAGCAGCAAGAACAGCGTCGTCGCCTCTCTCAGAAACAAGAAAGCCTGGCTGTGGTGAAAGAGCGCAGAATGGCACGCGTACAGGAAAAACGTGAGCAGGCACTGCTCAAACGTCGGATTCGACCTCCTCGCGAAATTCCGATGCGCCGCGAGGGCCTCCTCGAACAACATCCGCCCATGCAGCGCATTCTTCTCCGGAATCAGGCCCTGAATCCACAGACTCTCCGGCTCCTCCACCTGAAGCAGCACCAACGCGCACACGGCCGTCAGAAGACAATGCGCCTCCATCCCGACCTCACTCGGCCCGGCAACGACCTTCATCTGCGCAACGTACTCGGGCGTCAAGATGGGAATGGTAGGGTGCAACCGCGCAAAGAACCGATCGACGCAGTAATCCATGACCCGCGCGGGAAGAAGATCGGCCATGCGCTGGACAGCTTCGCGGGGAATGTGTCCAAAGGCCTGGGAGCCGTGGGAGACCCAGGCAAGGGAGACGGGGCCGGGCAGGCCGAGGCACTGGTCGCCTAGGCCGGCGTCGACGCAGCGCTTGCAGGGGCGGTATTCGTTGCATGCGCGGCGGAGGTTTTTGCAGCGGGCGCAGGCGCGGGAGACTTGGGCTCTTTTGGGGCGGGAGCCGCCGGATGATGAGGATTTGCGGCCGGTTGTTGATGACGGTCCGCCATTGTAGCCACCGCCGGAAGACGATTCTTGGGCGTCCTCGCTGTGGTCGTGGCGTTTGCCGAGGTGAGAGCTGCTGGCTGGGGATATGGTGGAGGGACTAGCTGCTGGGGGGGACACCATCGTCTTTTCCATTGCGAAGCCTCATGGTGTACCAGGTCGTTTTGAGTGCGCGGGTGAGAGTGAGATTGAACGTCTGATGTGATTGTGTTTGTTCGTTGATGTTGCGCGCTGTTTAGGTTTTGGTGTCCACCTTGAATGAGAGAGGTTGGACGTGAGTGAGTGTGACCCCAACCACGTTACCACGCAATGGAAATGAGTGACGGGAGTTGGAGGTCCACGCGTGCCGAGAAAATCAACGACTGGACGCATGGAAGAGAAGGAAATGTCCCCGTTCTGCCCGGTGCCGGTGCGCGCAGTGACTTCCATTTCCCCAGTGAGTCACGTGTTACCCCGCTAACCCCCGTCCTAGACGCCCGGGGGAAGATTCTCGCCCAGTAATTGGCACGTTACCAATGCAATGCAACTGTGCAACAACACGCCAGACGGCCAGACCAATACTCCCATTGATCATGATGCAAACATCCATAGTATTTATCCCTGACCACTCGTCTGAGAGGCCGCTGATTTGTACATCTTTTTGAAACCCCCGTATCTATCTATGTACGGTAGTGTATGAATCCAATGCCCAACGCCTTGCTATGCACCCCAGACTTGCTGTATATCCATCCCCCACCAAAGAAGAAAATCTTCATTTTTGTCGCATGTTCTTGGGCTTACGCTTCTTGAACACTACCGCCGGCGCCGCGGCCTCCGTGGATTCCGCAGCCTCATCCTCCTTCTTGACGCCGTCCTCTCCCAAGGTCGGCACGTCCAAGCCCTTCCCAGCCTCGTCCTCCACCGGCTCACTCTTAACAGCCGGCGCATCAGTTATAGCTCCCGCCGCATCCTCTCCCTCACCCTCCTGCTTCACCTCGGTCTTGACATCCACCTCAGCCTTATCCTTCTCTTCCTCCTTCTTCACAGCCCTCATCAGCGTATTCCCACTCAACAACGCATCAAGATCCTCGTCGTCAGCCGGCATCGTCCTCGTGCTCCCCCACTTCTTAGGCCTCTTAAACAACCCCCTCACAGCCTCCTCCTCCTCCCTCTCCTCCTCCGTCTGCTCCCGCTTCCTCACCCCAACAGCCTTAGCCTCAACAGGCTTGTCCCTCTCCCTCGCCGCCTCCTCGTCGTCGACAACCTTTGTCGCAGTGACCGTCCACTCCCCCGCCATCGCCATATCGCCCCGAAACTCCGTCGGTATCGAAACGCCCATCTCGGCGAGCTGTTCCATCTGCTGTTTGCGCTGCGCCTCCGCCGACGGCGGCGCGCCGCTGCTGCTCGAACCACCGGGTCTTGAAAAGGATGATGATGATGATGGCGTGCCGGACGATATCCCCTTCAACCTCTCCACCTCGCGCTTCGCCCTGTCCTTTTCACGCTCTTCTTGTTCATGGCCGCGGTGGAGGTCGCGCAGGAACCGCTTGAGCGCGCCCTGGTGCTTGCCCGTCGCCTCGTGGTTCTGTCGTTCTAGCTTCGTGTCGCGGACAAAGATGCTGCAGTGCTTGCACCAGTACTTTGGTGTCGATTTCCAGTATTCTGACATGGCTGTATGTGCGCGTTGCGTACGTGTCAGATGTACGCGCGTACGTGTGCAGGTCGAGGTAAGGTAGAGAGAGATGTTGGTCGAAAGAGATGGCTGGGTGTTCGTGTGTTGTCAGAGCGAAAGAAGGTTGGCCGAGACGTCACTGCAGGATGCGCATGCCAGAAATTTGGAGGTTCGGCCCAGATGTCTGCGCTGAGGTCCGTGCAGCTGTTATCTTATCTCCAGTCACATCCCTGCAGGTGGAATGTCACTCCCGGCGGTGCGCAGCGACATCGGATGCCATGTTCGCCAGTCACTGATCACGAAGTCATTTCAAACTGTTACAGCTGAAGATGTGCTGGTATTGCTCTAGTGGCGGAGTTAGGGACTTGTCACAGCCCCTTCCAACTATCTAGCTACCTATTTGCAAACCTGCAAACCCATCCATCCTCTGCTCTTGTACAAAGTCCGTTTCCTGGTCATCATCATGGAATTAAAATGCCGATTTCTTGGCAGGGTATTGAGAAGCAAAAATGCCAATTAAGCCTTTGTGAACCAATTCAAGTCCACCCACTCATTCCGAGTCAAGCGACTTAGATAAGGCAGACGACTGCCATCAGAGTGGCAACGAGAGCGACAAACGAAGCCGGAGCCAGGTTCTGGCCAGCAGCAACGGGGGGAGCCGCCGGTGTGGTCGTGGTCGCAGGCGGGGTAGCCGTGGTGCCAGGGGTGGTCACGACCGCCGTGCTGTTGACGGGCGTCGACGGGACCGAGGGAACCGGAACGGGCACCTTCGTGGTGGGGACCGGCGGGACGACCGGCGCGGTGGTTGCAGGAGGGGCAACAGGGGTTCCCGGGGGAGTGTAGGGAGGCTGGCTAGCGGGAGCAGAGGGCGTCACAGTGACAGGAGGTAGCTCGCCGCAGGGGGTGGTGTGGCCCTGAACCTGGCCATCGCCGATTTGGCAGAGAGGGACGGGGATCGTGGTCGGGACAACCTGAGGCTGACCGTCGCCGATAACCGTGACGAGAGTGGTAACCACCATGGTGGTACCAACAACCTGTCCAGAGGGAACGGGAGCATCGGCGCCGCAAGGAAGAGCCGAGAGGTGAATGGGAGAACACTGCTCAGCCCAGTGACGGTTGTACAAGTTGTAGAAGTCACCAGAAAGGCATCGGTAGAAGGTGGTGGAGCCTCCAAGGGCAAGGGAGCCGTTGGAGCAGACGGAGAAGCCAGAGGTGTAGATGGCGCCAGCTTGAGCGGGACCGTCAAACTGGAATTGGTAGTTGGCGACGATAGAGCCAGTGCGGCCCTGGGAATCGGTCAGGACACCGTCCTTGAGGGTGAGGTCCAAAGAACCAGTTCCAGTGCAGGAGCCACGCTTCTGTTGCGCTTGTCAGTATAAAATCTCTTTTTTTTTTTCCCTGGAGGCTGGTAGGCTTACATCGAGGCTTCGCTTTCCGAGCTCGACAACGGTCAGACCGAAGTTGCCAGTGTAGCTTGTGGAGCAACCGGCGGGGGGGCTCGCTGATGGCTTGAGAGCAGCCTGCGGCATGGCCACGGCCAAGGTAGCCAAAGCGGCGGGGATGATCGCGAAGGAGCGCATCTTGTTGGCTAGAGATGTATGTATTAGCAAGACTGATGCATTTTCGCTCAAGTTGAGGATTCTGAGTTTTCATATAGTGTGCCGATCCTCCGGAAATGTAGGCAAGATCGTGCAGGACCAGCGAGATCATGAAGTACAAACCACTTCACGAGTCACCAGACAGCTCAGGAGGGACAGAAAAGTCGACGGGAGCTCTGACTGAAACCAGAAATCAAGCAATGAAAATAACCGGGCCAACAACGCGGGCATATTCATGGTTTGATGCCACAAGCCCATGACGTCGCCCGCCGTGATGGAAGAAGAAGGATGAGCGATGTAGCAAGCTCATAGATCGCCAAAATAGAGCCAACGAAACCGCGAGACGCGCTCCATGAGAGGAATCGGAGTCCCATCTCGCTGACAGCAGAGGAGTCGCAATAGAGATCAGCTTACCTGAATCGAAGTTCTTGTGGTTCCTAAGGAGGCGGTGAAGGTTGTTGTGGCAGGTAGTTTGTTGGCAAAGCAATGTAGCTCAGGTGAGATGTTGATGTGGTGGTGAGAAGAATTTCCAACAACCAAGTTGATTTATTTTTGCCCAAAGGTGAAGTGGTGAAGGGTAATCCAGCAAAAGCTCCTGACCCGCTTTGTCCAACAATGCCCTCGTTCAAGAATCACACAAAAAAGGCGGGTACTGCCTGTGTTGGTGCCTCGTGGAAGCACGGGAAGCGTGAGATCGGAAGAGAACCGAGGAAGGAAGAGAGCTTTGTTTTCGAATGGTACCTCTGTCACAATGCTGTGTGAGGTGATGGTCGTCTGTTGTTCCTTTGCCGTTGCCACGCGCGATGCGTATGAGTGAGTGTCGAAGGGTCGGTGGAAAGAAATAAGGTGTTGGAATAGGTTCAGTGAAATAAACGTGGCAGGCTTCCTTGGTGGAGGGCAACCCTATGAGCGAGAGTATGGGCAGGGATGGCGAAGTTGAGCTGAAGAGAGGGAGACCGAGGAGGAGGGAGGGTTGGGGTCCGGTGGTTCATATACAAAGAAAGGGAGGGTAGACTTGTGAGTAAGGCCTGGTGGGTAGGCTGGTAGGGGAGGAAGATAAGCTTCAGCCGTGGGTATTGCGCGTCTTTGACATCCAGAATGTGGATTTGATGGAGCAAATACCTTGAGCTAAGGAACTTGCAGTAGCGTGTGTATACGTGGTGTAAGTAGCCATGTGTGTTTGTGAAGGTTGGTATTAGTTGTGATCTGATATGCAGAGAGGCATGCGGCTACTTGCAAACAGCACTTGGAACAAAGCAAATCTGCATGTACATTCCAGGCTTATTACTCTGTACATCAGACCAACAACAACAACATCACAGCCACCTCATCCACACTTTCACTACATAGCAGCGGTTGAATATTGATTTGCGAGTGTGGATGGGTGGGTGGATGACTGATGGTTGTTGATGTGAACATGGTGGCCCAGGGGTGGTTGGGGAGGTCGCCTCTGGTAGCAGGGCTGGGCTGGAGGCACACCTCAACCAGGACCAGGGTCAGTGCCACAAGCTCAATTGCACTGTCCCGATGCAAAGCCCGTGGATGATTTTGCTGGGCCTGGTGATGTCAGAGATAGAACACAGCTTTCCCTCCGTCGAGTCATGGTGAGAGTGCTGTACAGTAGTTTCCCCCAAGCAGAGCGATTCGGACGAACCGGGCACGCAAAACAGAGGGGGCTGCTTGTTTTGCTATTTTTGCAACTACTTTATCCTGTACTCGGAGCAACCAAATATGTGATTCGACGAGGCAACAACAAGGGGCCTGGCCTGTAAGACGTCGTAAACAGCAGAAGAATTGATGAATGAGAAACCGAAGATAGACTGCTGGATTAACTGCGACCACCGGCCTGTCTTGTGCTGAGACAGAAGGCTTGCGCAGCCGACCGCTTGGGGGAAATTTCCTAGAAGCTGGAGGGCCTGTCTCGAATGCGGTGTGGCTTCTGCTGATCAGGTACCACGGCCGAAATGACCAATGAGTGCTGGTGAGGAGCGAAATGCGTGGAATGTTGGACTTGTCGGGCTTGTTTAGTGAGATGTTTGGCCTCCAGAAGCAGACAGCGATTCTGCGTGGTTGTGGATATGAGAATGGCATCGGTCGCTTTTCAGCGGTGCTGGGCACACGGCAGCGGGGACGGGGAGGTCGGCACTGCACTGTGTTCCTGGCCTTGGCCTGTTCTTTAGGCTGTCTTGACTTGCCGTGCCGTGGTGCTGGATGTGGACCTTGACCTGCGGTGAGGGGTCGTCGGAAGAGGGGGTGAGCCGGGGTGTGCCCCGATCGATTACCGAGAGGGGGTTGGTGAGGCGGAGGTCATGTTGACGTGGAAGTCGGGATTGGTGGAAGACGTGGATATGTGGTGCGGCATCCAAAGATCCAGTGAGCTCGCGAGACATGGTGATTTCTCCCCGTTGAGAACTTGAGCATGGAGAATCAGACATGATTGGTGACTTCGGGGATGAGAATGCGTCCCTGGCCTGGGAGAAGAAAAGGGGGTCATGAGTTCCTCAGGCACGGATTGGCTGCGAACAGTTCGACAGATGCAAAGATGTCTTGATCCCTTGCCTTGGACTGGAGCCTCCTCGTTGTTAGTCGACGGACAAGAGTCCAGAACAGTGTCACTCTGGTACACTTTTTTCTCCGTTTCTTTTTGGCGCTTGTCTGGTGCAGAACACCAAGAAAGAAGTTGGTGTCGTCAAGAGGGGGAAGGATCTCCCAGGATGTTCGTTGTCTGGGTAAACATGTGGTGCTGCCAGCCCAATCCCAACCTGCCAGAGCGTATCTTTGAGCTGTGTACGGATATGCGAATCCTCTCCGTACATGTGTGCATGTGTTCTGCGTACTTCGGACGGATGAAGGAGACCAAGTGGCCGTGGTCATCCATCTCCATGACTCCAAGTTGAGATTGGTGCGCCGTAGTACTCTGTCTCTCATCCATACCAGCCACAGCCCTGATCCAGATCCCTTCATCTCGACAGCGTGCGACCTCATCCGACCTTCTTCTCCGGCGGCATAAATTTGCCGAAAACAGGAATCCTGAGTTCGACTCTGGGGAATCCAATGTCATTTGGTCAATCCTCCGTTGTTGCGTTTCAGCCAACCCGGTCGCCATGATATCATGGCACGAACATCGGCGAATATCATCATCTGTTAAGCCCTGCAGCCGTCCTATCACCGCGTCGTGACCGGGTCGGAGTGGGTGGACCGGAGACCTTGGATGTCGGCTCGAGGGGGTTTGAGGTTTTTCCTAGCACCTGGCCTTTCCGTCCATCCTCCGATGGTTGAAAACGACCGAAAAAGGAAGCCCCCCAGCGACTATCCCACCCATCTTTTCCCTTGTGGCGTCTTGAAGACCCACGGCACCCGCAGCCAAGCGCCGCTCTACAGGGGACGACGGGCCCTGTC